ATCCATCCATCACCCATCCATCATCCATCATCCATCCATCCATCCATCCATCCATCCATCCATCCATCCATCCATCCTCTATATATCTATCAATCTTCTTTCATCTTCTCTCTATCATTTCTCTATCTTTGTGGCTATAACTTACATCTATCTATCTATCTATCTATCTATCTATCTATCTATCTATCTATCTATCTATCTATCTATCTAGCTCTCCATCCACTCACCTATTCATCCATCCACTACTAGCTGGCTGTCTATCTACTTATCTATCATCTATCTATATGAATATCTATCATCTCTCTATAATCTATATCTATCATCAATCTATCTACACACCAACCCACACAATTCATACATCCATTCATTTATCCATGATTTCTACCACCTATGTATCTACCTATATCTATCTATCATCTATCTATCTATCATCTATCTATCTATCTATCTATCATCTATCTATCTATCATCTATCATCTATCTATCATCTATCATCTATCTATCAATCTATCTATCTATCTATCTATCTATATCTATCTATCTCATCTATCTATCTATCTATCTATCTATCTATCTATCTATCTATCTATCATCTATCTATCTATCTATCATCATCTACCTATATCTATCTATCTATCTATCTATCTATCTATCTATCTATCTATCATCTATCATCTATCTATCTATCTATCTATCATCTATCTATCTATTTATATCTATCTATCATCTATCATCTATCTATATCTATCATCTATCTATATCTATCTATCATCTATCTATCTATCTATCTATCTAATCTATCTATATCTATCATCTATCTATCTATCTATCTATCTATCTATCTATCTATCTATCTATCATCTATCTATCTATCTATCATCATCTATCTATATCTATCTATCTATCTATCTATCTATCTATCTATCTATCTAAAATCTATCTATATCTATCTATCATCATCTATCCATCTATTTATCCATCTACCCATCCACTCATCATCTATATTTCTATTCATCATGTATCTTCTATGTTCTATCTTTTATTTAGCAATCTTTGTGGCTATAATTAGCATCTACCTATTTATCTATCTACCTATTTTTTACCTATCTGCCTATCTATCAATCTAGCTATTCATCCATCTACCAAACATCTACATATCTATTATTTTAATCTATGTATCTATCATCTATCTATCATCATCTTTCTAATTATATATCCATTCATTCATCCACCTACTCATCCATCTACTGCCTATCATATCTCTCTTCACTACCTAATATCTATCAACATACTTACCTACCTATCCATCACTTATACTGTACCTTGGCTCTATCCTGCACCTAAATTTGTGGCTGTGACTTGTCCTTTCTATGAATGAGAGACTGCCCAGCTCACATTGCTGTTAGAAACACACAACTGCATTTTCCACCCATTATTGTTTTATCCCACTTGTTCACTCACAACCAGATCTTAAGGCAAACAGCTGCCAACTAAAGAAGAGCAAAAAGTGAGTCTGTTGAAAATAGATTTTTAAGGAAAAGAAATAAATTTGCTACTCCATTTTTGTGCATTAACTTATTGTTTCAAGTGAAGAATCACCACATGGTCTTCGTATATGTGAGCTTATTATGTGTGATCTGTGTGTGTTTAATTTCAGGGAAATGGCATCAGGGCTTAAACTGCCGCTTCCGAAGTGACCACTGCCACCATCCGTATAAGTATGGTTTTGATTACTTCTATGGCATGCCACAGAGTCTATTTGACAACTGCTGGCCGGATCCTTCTCGTGACACAGAATTAGCCATCGGGAGGAGAGTCTGGATCTGTGTACAGCTGCTCGCCTTGGCTGTGCTCACGCTCACTCTAGGGAAACTGACTCACCTGATCTGCATCCCCTGGTCCGTCATCTTCTTCATGATTCTTTTTGTGCTCCTCCTGAGCTACTTTTGGTTATCCAGTTTTTCGTCTTCACAGTACTGGGATTGCCTCCTCATGCGCGAGGAAGAAATTACCGAGCAGCCCATGAAAGCAGAAAGAGCAGGGTCCATCATGGTGAAGGAGGCCATTTCGTTTTTAGAAAGGTAAAGTGATTTTTTTTTTAAAATATATATTTTTATTGATTTCAGAGAGAGGAAGGTAGAGGGAGAGAGAGAGAGAGAAACATCAATGATGAGAGTCATTGATCGGCTGCCTCCTGCACGCCCCCTACTGGGGATGGAGCCCACAATCCCAGCATGTTCTGGGACCAGGAATCGAACCACGATCTCCTGGTTCATGGTTCAATGCTCAACCACTGAGCCACACACGCTGGGTTGACTTATTTATCTGAATGTATATCTTCAGTATATTCATTCAGAATGAGAAATATGTCCGATGGAACTAGACGATAGAAAAAGTTGGCCATCACCTTGTTTCTCTAGGAGGGAAAACTACTGGAGAAAAGAAAAGTACCCTGTAGGTCCATCCATGTGGGCTGTCATAAAGGGTAATATCTCATTTCTTTTTAGGGCCAAGTAATGCTCCATTGTATATATGTACCACCTCTTCTTTACTCAAGGACATTGTCTGATCTGATTATTAGCATTGTGTTTACCCCATGGCCCAAGTGGAGACGACGCACATGTAGAGTGTGGGAGAAACAGGCTCATGTTTGCCTTGTAGATGCAGCTCTGTGGCTGGTTTCACGTAGGTCAAGCTCCTTTATCTCCTGGTGCCCTTCCCAAGGGGCCGAGTTCTAGAAAGATTGACCGAAAGAACATTAGCTAAGCCTTTAGATATCTCCTATAGGAACATGTAACCTCAATTGTCATCAGCCTGTATACCAGTTTCCTAGGGCTGCCCTAAAAATGTCCCACAAACGGGGTGACTGAAGACAGCAGAAATGTAGTCTCTCTCTCATTCCGGAGCCCAGAAGTCCCCAAACAGGGTGTCTGTGTGGGTGTGACCCTCACCTGAGACGTCTGAGCCAGGGGAACGTGTACTGAGCACAGCAGGATTTCAGACTTAGCTCTGTGGTGATTTTTGAGTGCACTGGGGCCAGGTTCCCTCTGAAGGCTTCAGGGGAGGGTCCTTGGTGCTCCTTGGCCTGTGGCCACATCACTCCAGTTTCTCCCTCTGTCTTCACAAGTCCCTCTTTCCTCTCAGGGTGACTGTGTAGCTCCTAACAGTGCTCTTCCTATAAGAACCCCAATGGATTCTGAGCCCCCTGGACACCATTACACTCTTTTCTTAAGTAATTCTATCTCCAAAGACCCTAGAGTCAAATAAGATCACATTCTGAGTGTCTTTGTGGACAATTTTGGAAGGACACCATTCAACCCTGTGAGCCGTGGCACACTTTTTTTTTTAATGTTCATTTTCACCCATTCTTAGTCATTTAATATCCCATGAGACAGAGCAGAAATTTCCCCAAGACTGGGTGGAGTTGTGCGCGGCTTCCCTGGTTAGCTGAGTGCCGCTCATTGCTGCAGACAGATTGTCAGGCCTGGGAGGGGGTCCCCCTCATTCCCTGCACCCTCACATGGGAATCGAAGGTGTGTGCAGACTGCCAAGGCGTTTCTTGGGTCTTGGGTCATGAAAGCGCTGACATTTCTTGGTAACCGCCCCAGCGACACCATCTCTTGTGCGCCTTGGGCTGTGACTCTAGTCGGAGACGTTGTGGGCCCTGGGAAAGTGCTCCGAGCAGAGCTGGTTTGGATCATAACCCTGTGTGACCTCTGAGAGCAGGATGACCGCCCCGCGTCCTGGCATCTGAGGGGCAGCATCACCCTAAAATTAAGGCAGAGTCCAGATGCTGGGGGATCCTGGAATCCACTCTGCCCAGGGGACCCTCTCCAAGGGGCTGTCTTTGCACGCGTCTCCTCTCCTGGGTGTGCACAGGACAGAAAGGAGCTGTGTCTGTCTGTCTAAGAGCAAAGTAGCCCCGTTCGCAGAAGTTGACAACTCAAAACCGATGGGATCCATGTCTCCTCAGGCACCGAGAAGGACCGTTCCTCCTTTTTTACTCCTTCCTGCATGTCCATTTTCCCCTCCCCACGGCCAAGGACTTCATGGGCACCAGCCAGCACGGCTTATACGGAGACAACGTGCAGGAAATGGACTTCTTTGTGGGTAAGTGGCAAGAGGGAACCTGCGCACATCAGCATTGGCCTAGCAACAAATCCGTGTCCACGCTAAATTTACCAGAATCGCCCCTTCCCCATGGGGTGCTGAGGGGGGTTCAGGAAACAGGCTCACTCACACCTGCTCCTGGAGTGTAGGATTTGGGGAACCTCAAGTGAGCGAGATTTTTGCAACGGCTCCCAGAGGAATGTGCACCTATTGGGACTAACAGGGATGCCCGGAGCTCGTAACGTCATCAGTGTCACAGGTCCCTCTTTCCTTCTTTCAGGCAAGCTCCTTGCTGCCATTGACAACTTGGGGCTGAGGAATCGCACGCTTGTCCACTTCACCTCAGACCACGGAGGACACCTGGAGCAGCGGGTGGGCCACGTCCAGGCTGGCGGATGGAATGGGATATTCAAAGGTGAGGAGCCAAGGTCATGCCTGGGGTGTCCTTGGGTCTAGGGTCTCTTAGCCTCATTGTCATAAAAATCCGGGGCATGAAGCAGGAGGCCAATGATGCGTGAAACACCCAACGAGATGATTTTATTGGTAAAAAATAAAGTGTAGGACTGAAATCCAAGGATATTGACCTTAACTGGCTAACACCTCCAGGGAACACTAGACATCGGCCTTCCTGGTAATCCTGTGGGATTAAAGAGTGTTAAAGTCAGCAGATGACTTAAGCAAGTCGTTCAATGAGTTGAACATCTAATCATTGGTTCATCTACAAGAATGGTCAGAAACGTGGTCTAAAGGGAGGGCACAAAGAACAACAACCCAACTCTCCTTGGACATTCAGAAAGCTTGGGTGCTCTTCTCCAGATACATGGCCAAGCTCGTCTGAGGTCTTACAGTGAAATTCACAGACACTGCTTCCGACACTGTGCCCGAACCTGTGGCCCATGAAGACACAGCCATCAGCAACCTCTCTGATCTGGTCTAGTGACAGGTGTCCTGAGGTTATAAGAGGATTATCTGTGACGGGTTCAGTACATTTGAACCTATGAACCTGAAGAGATGCTAAAGCTTTGTGTGGATGCGAATGTGTCATTACTCATGCAAATGTGGGTGTTATAGTCTTGCATCCAGGAGGACAGGATTCCTGTGTAAATGAGATAAAGACTTGGCATCACTCTGGCAAAAGGGAGTGAGCCTTTCCAGCTGAGGCCTTGCCCAACCCAACGGGGTGCTGAGGAAGCAAACCGATCATCAGAAAGATTGTATAGTTTTGCTTATGAGAACTTTAAAGTATCTCCATGTCTGAGCACGTTATGACTTCAGTTGCATTGAGCAATTTAATGTGTCGACATAAGACATGTCCTAACCTGTACAGTGTATTTATAACAGTTCATTTGAACCCAACTGAAGACGTATGTCAGGGAGCAAGATCCCAAAGGCAGCTTCTTTACTGCATTTGAAATTAAGGATGAGCCTAAGGCCGGTGAGAGAAAGCAAGGTGGGGATCGGATCACAGGATAGTTAACAAGATTACATGCTGTCTTGAGGGGTCATATCCCCTTTGAGGGGTATTAATTCTGACATTTCAGAGGTGTGTTAACCTTGAGGTTCAAGCACAATGGGCAGAGTTCGCTTAAGCCCTTTCACTAAAGAAGTTATAGGCCTGGGAGTGACCACCCCCCCTGACCCGCCCAGTTGGAATCTATGATCAGATAACCCCCTGAGGACACTTTCCATAGAATCTCCTTTCTTATAATCCACCAGTGAAAGAATAAAAACCCATGAACACTGCAGGATGGCCGTTCCTCTTAGTTGGCTCAAGGAAATTGTGGTGTGTGCTGGTCATCCTGGTGTCCATTTATCACCTCCTGCTTCCTTTCAGATAAATTCCCTGGTTTGCACAAGAAATTAGCATCGACCTTTACTATTCCACTCCATTAATTTTCAGCAGGCTGGATTCAGCATGGAAGAAAACAGGCCCAAATTTTCACCTTTGTGGCATTTGTATTCTTGTGGAAAGTGCCACACCAGAAAAAACACACACACATAAATTATTTCATATGCTACAGGGGATTAGATGTTACAGACAAGTAGACCAGAGAAAGATAAATGAAGATAAATAAAGTCTTCATGGAGAAAGTACTGTTGAGCAGAAACCTACGAGCGGCCCAAGAAAACTCTGTTTCGTGGACATGTACTGCTGACCCCATCAGGTGCCTGCACATGGGCCTTGAGCAGAAACGGACTGACTGATGTTAATTTACATTTTTGACCATGATTATCACTGTGACGATTTTTACGGGAACCTTATTGCTTTACCCTGTAGGGGGAAAAGGCATGGCCGGCTGGGAAGGTGGGATCCGCGTGCCTGGACTTTTCCGATGGACTGGGAGATTGCCAGCCGGAAATGTCATCAATGAACCTACAAGCTCAATGGACATCCTTCCGACTGTCACAGCTCTGATGGGAGGAATTGTCCCTCAGGACAGGTGACGTCCTATAACCTGTTCACAGAGCTTGTTTTTATCTTTGTCTCTGGAAGATTCAGGTCACAGGGGGTAAACTCTATTCTCACGGGGACACTTTCTCTCCGGTACCCAGGTGATGTTCACCTTGGTCTATGGCTTTGCCTCTTGAGCGTGACTCATACACGAGGCCTCAATGGTGCCGGCCTGTGGCCCATCTGGGACACTTTGTATTTTTATTTGGGAGGAAGATGGAGACAGGAAGGTTTGGTGATGAAAATATGGCCAAACTCACTCATCCGTGTGGGAGATAAAATCATTCCCTGATATCTGGTGTTCAAGGTCCAGAAGGTTGGGATGAAGTCAGACGTTCGATGGATATTTTGAACTCTATCGAGATTATTTTAAATTTCATTAGGCTGCATTGTTCCATTATAAGTGTGGACTGGAATCCCATTGTGTGTTGATTTGTGTTTCCCAAGTGACTAACGATCCTATGGACCCTGGTGCATACTCATTTCCTGTCCATATCTCCTTTTTGTGAAGAATCTGTTCAAATCTCTAGTCCGTTTTTAAATTGGGTATTTTGTTGTTTTTGATTTGTAAGAGCTCTTTACATATTCTGGATACAGCTTCTTCGTGAGATATGAGTTCTGCTAACGTTTTCTTCCAGTTCGTGGCTTGTCTTTTCATTGTCTCCCATTGTAATTTGAAAAGCAGAAGATTTTAATGTTGATAATGGACAATGTACTACTTTTCTTTGATAGACAGTGATTTTTAATCTATACCATAAAAGCATTTTTCTAGTCCAAGGTCACAAAGAGTCCCTCCTACATTTTTTTCTGTAGAGGTCTTATAGTTTCAGGTTTTACATTGAGCTTTATGGTTGACATTGAGTTAAATATTTCAGTCGTGTGAGGTATAGGTTGAGATTTATTCTACTTGCATTTAGATATATAATGTCTCTAGTGCCATTTATTGAGAGACTCTTCTTCCTCTGCTGAATTACTTTGTGCATTTGTTGAAAATCAATGGACTAGATATGGCTTGATCTGGACTCTCTCCTGTTCCATTGATCCATATATTTATCGATTTTTATGTCAATACGACTCTGTCTTGATGATTCTAGCATTATACTAAATTTTGGAATCACGTAGTATGAATGGGAAAGCTATTTTCTTTTTTCAAAAATAATTTAGATTATTCTAAGTTTCTTGTCCCCCTCCCCCAAATTATTAGAATAAGCTTCTCAATTTATGCAAAAGATTCTTCTGGGTTTTCTTTTATTCAGATCATATTAAACGTATACGTCAACTTGTAAAGAATGGACAGCTTAACAATTTTGAGCCTTCAAATCTTAGAACTTGGTTAATCTGTCCATTTATTTATATTTTCAGGTGTTCTGTGCTTTTCAGCGTAGAAACATTTAACCTGAAAGAAAAAAAAAAAAAAAGGTATCCTTAGATGTTTTCCATTTTTTGATGCTGTAATAAACGGCACTTAAAAAAGTAATATTCCACTGTTCATTGCTAAAATATACAGATAAATTGATTTTTTTTTTAGTGGTTGGTCTTAAATTGATGACCTTGATAAATTTACCTGTTATTTCCAGTAGCTTTTGGAAAGATTCTCAAGAAAGGCAATGATTCCATCTGAGAACAAAGACAGTTTCATTTCTTTTATGATCACTTTTTAGGATTATCTGGGACTTAGTATTCTATTTTCTCCTATGAGGTAGATTTTTTGATTACCGTTTTCTAATATACGGTATAAGTTACATTTTCTGACATAAGATTAAAACTATGCCATTTTTTAGAGGTTCTTTAAAATCGCTTCGTCAGGGTAGTAATACAATTGCAAGTGAAAATCTGAGCTGGTGAGACCTTCTGTGGCCACGGCCACAGCGCTCATGAGATGGCCTATGGATTGACCCATCCCTCCCTTGTGCTATTTCACTGGAAAAGCTGTTTTCGGTTCCTGTTTTTCTCTCCTTGGGAGCCTGCATGATGTTCCTACACCCTCAGCACAGTGTCCTCTGGGCCCCAGGGATGCCACGAAATGCACCGAGCATCCTTCTAACAGCCCGATGACCGGATTCCCTTGCCTGACCTTCTTTGTGTGTGTCCACAGGGTGATTGATGGCCGAAACCTCATGCCCTTGCTTCAGGGTGAGGTCCAGCAATCGGAGCATGAGTTTCTGTTTCACTACTGCAGTAGGTTCCTCCACGCCGCACGTTGGCACCCGAAGGACAGTAAGTACACCTGCCCCTGCACCCTCCAGGTGCCAAGAGCAGGGTCCCTTTAGTCAATTCTCCATACTTTCTTCCAATTTATCCCCGAGCCCAGTCCTTTTAGTCTCGGGTTACCACTGAAAATACCTTCTCCAGAATGTTTCTAAGAATTTCTCTCCTTTAGAAAGACGGAGAGATAACTTTAAGAAATATCCATTTTGAGAAACACTTTGTTAGTTTATTTTGTTCATTAGATTCCACGTATGAGTGAGATCAAGTGATACTTGTCTTTCTCTGACGGGCTTATTTCACTTAGCACAATACTCTCCAGGTCCCTCCGTGTTCTCTCAAAGGATAAGAGATCCACCTTTTTCACAGCTGCATAGTATTCCATGATTTAGACGTACCACAGCTGTTTTATCCACTCATCTACTGGTGGGCACTTGGGCTGCTTCCCAGTGTTGACTAAGTGGAGACAGGCTCATGGATACAGAGAACAAATCGACAGCTGTCAGAGGGAAGGGGGTGTGGGCTGGGTAGGAATGGTGAGGGGACTCAGCAAAGAAAAAATTAGAAAGAAAGACTCACGGGCACCGAGAGTAGCATGGCGATTGCTTGGGGGACGTGTGGTAGGGGAGGTAGGAGAGGGTAAAGGGGAGATTAATGGCGATGGAAGGAGACTTGACTTGGGGGAGGTGAACACACAATATAATATACAGATGATGCATTATGGAATTGTACCCCTGAAACCTATATAATTTTATTAACCAATGTCACCCCTATACATTTAATTGAAAAGAAATATCAATTTTGAAACATGTAACGTTACACTAAGGGGTGGTGATGTTCTGATGTTCTGATGATTGATTGATATTTAAGTTAATAAGTGAGCCAAGAGAAAAACCAGGAAATGCTCGAGAAGACAGAAGAAGACACCACTGGGCAAATGGGCTGGATGTCCCTCACGTCTCGTTTCCTCTCTAGGTGAGGCCGTGTGGAAGGTTCATTACGTGACACCCATCTTCCAGCCTCCAGGAGCTCAGGCGTGCTATGAGGAAACTTATTGTAAATGCACAGGGGACATGGTCACCTATCATGACCCTCCCCTGCTGTTCGACCTGTCCCGGGACCCCTCCGAGTCGACCCCACTGACCAACGACACGGAGCCCCTCTATGACTTAGTCATCAACACGGTGGCCGACGCCCTCAGGGAACACAGGAAAACCATCACCCCCGTTGAGCCTCTGCTTCGGGAAGAACTGAACCATCAGTTTGTGTCGTTGATGTCCTGTTGTGGGGTGTTCCCCTTCTGTATGTGTGACAAAGAGGGCGAGGAATCCAAATGAGAAGCAGCTACTGATTGAGAGCAGGTGGCCAAAGACCACCGATGCTGGGACTTTCAAGTATGCAAGGAAAGGATTTGAACACCAATAAACTTCTCTACCATTCCAGGTTACTTAATGTCTATTGGTTGTAATGCCCTTCACGGTGTCTGAGAAGGTGAGAGTTCCTTCTTTTTTACGGCCCAGGAGTAATCCATTGTGTCAATAGGGCAACATGGAAATACACATAGCCATTGGTGTCTGAGGCTCTCCAACTGTTGATAGAACAATGTCCACATCAAGGAGACGCCTGAGAGCAGCGAGAAGTGGAAATAAAAATCCCAGAAGGGACGCCTTTATTGATCTTCCCCATAGGATATACCAAAACTTGGTTGGAGATTATTTCTGCCTTACCTCACCTTCATGATTTAGATAGAAAGTCTCGTATGAGTTTGCTAAGACTGAGTTAAAAAAAATCAGCACCAACGTGGTGTCTTAAAAACAATAGAGATTTATTCTTTCAGCGTTCCAGAGGCCAGAAGTTCAAAATCAAGCTCTCAGCAGGACCACAGGCTCTCTGAAGGCCTAGATAGAATTCTTCATTGGGCATCTCCCAGCTCCTGGTGGTGGCTGGTAACACTTGATGTTCCTTGGCTTGTAGATGCATCACTTTCATCTCAGCCTGAGTCTTCTCACGGGCTTCTTTCATTTCTACGTGCCTTCATCCAACATCCCCTCTCTTTTTAAGGACACTTGTCACTGGATCTGATCCCATCCTAGTCCAGGAAAACCTCATCTTAACTCAATGACATCTGCAGAGACCCTATTTCCAAACAAGATCCATTCATAAGTACCAAGGTTTAGGACCTTCTTTGGAGGGGATGCAATTCAACCAACTAGGTCCCTCTATAATAGATAAAGTGTATGGACCCTTCTCCAACCCTATCTTGCCTTGAAGAGACCCAAATCCCCACGCATCTTAACTTGATCACATCTGCAGAGACCTTATTTCCAAATAAGGCTCCTTTTGCAGGTACCAGGGTTTAGGACGCCAAGCTATCTTTCTAGGGGAGGCGCAACTCAACCAACTGGCTCCCTCTGTAACAGACAATGTGCCTGGACCCTTGGCCAAGCCAAACCAAAATCCCCACACACAGCCACCCCATGACGTCTCTTGAAGGTATTGCTTTAGGAGAAACAGAATTATGTGTTTGATCTCTTTTCGACAATATCCTTTCATGGTCTTGACTAAGGAGTCCTCTGAAAAGTTAACATCAAGCAAATAATTGTGTTAATATTGGGTATTAAATTATTTTATTTTTTTACCCCTAAGAGATGCTGGGTAACCATGTTGGACTTTATTTGCACACAGAAAGATAACTTGCACATGCTGAGTCATTCTAAGGTTTCCAACACATCCGACTTCAATCCCATGGGCTACGCAGAGGTTCCTTGTGAACTGAAGATGTCCTGGAACCGAATTTTAGAATGTTAGCCAGAGAAGGATCTTCCGAGATTGTTTCATCCAATGCCCTTATTTCACTGATGAAGAAAAGAGAGCTACCAAGGGGCTCAGTCAAGGCCACATCCTAAATGACTAACCACCAGGTGTGAACCCCAGGTCATTGGCACCTAATACCTCTCACTCCTTTCTGCTTCCTGAAGTCACACGTGGCAGGTGCTGAATGCTGGAAGGAAAAGCATTTTTGTTTTCTGTGCCGTGGTATCCACAGAGGTGAAAAAAATAATAATAATGGTCCACAGGGTTTGACAGTGTGAATTCAATAACAGTAGGACATCTGCTAGCCAGGGTTCATTGGTTGGGCATCGTCTCATGCACCCAATGGTTGCGGGTTCGATTCCCCATCACAGCACATACTCAGGTTGCAGGCTGGATGCCCAGTAGGGGGCGTGCATGAAGCAGCCGAACTGTGCTTCCCTCTCACATCAATGTTTCTCTCTCTCTCCTTCTCACTTACTCTCTTTAAAAATGAAGCCCCTAAGGTTTTCTATGCTCCAATTTTTCCACGTGCAAGATGCCAGTGTACGATCATATATACGTCCCAAGGTTCTTGTGAAAATTCAAGGAGATAATGCCTGTGAAAGACTTAACCCGCAGCTCCCGCCAGAGCAGTAGGTAATAATTTGCTTCTCTGTTAGCTCTTTTGAAAAATACCTTAAAATTAATATTAAGGTACAGGCATTCCTTGGAGACTCTGCGTAGTCAGGTCCAGGACACTGCAAGGAAGCGAATGTCATTGTAAAAGGAGTCGCAAAAATTGTTTGGTTTCCCAGTGCATATAAAAATTTTGTTTTCACTATATGGTGGTCTATAAAGAGTAAAAACAATGTACATATCTTAATTACAGGATAATTTATTGGTAAAAATTACTAACCATCACCCAAGTCTTCAGTGAGTTGCAATCTTTTTGCTAAAGTTTTATATTAAAAAAAAATTTATATTAAAAAAACCAACAGCCCTGGCTGGTGTGGCTCAGTAGGTTGGGTCCCATCCCTTGTACTTAAAGGTCACTGGTTCGATTCCCGGTCAGGGCACATGCCCAGGTTGCAGGCTCAATCCCCAGGGGGGGTGAGCATGAGACACCCCATCAATGTTTCATTCTCTCATTGATGTCCTTGTCTTTCTGTCTCCCTTTCTCTTACTCTCTCTTTAAAAAGATCAATAAAGTATCTTTTAGAAAAAGATTTTTTTTAAATGCAATATCTGTAAAGCACAACAAAGCAATGCGTAATAGAGAAGGTATGCCAATATGTCAGCTAGTAAAACAATATAGAACTTTGCCATTTGTCCAAGCACCCCACTGGTGCATTAACTATTGACCCAAGTAAAGTTATAAGTTATAAAATTCTGTCTACATATATAGTAGCAACATTATTATTTTTTTAAAATATCTTTTTATTGATTTCAGAAGGTGGAAGGGAGAGGGAGAGAGAGATAGAAACATCAATGATGAGAGTCATTGATCAGCTGCCTCCTGCACGCCCCTCTCTGAGGATTGAGCCTGCAAGCCAGGCATGTGCCCTGACCGGGAATCGAACCCTGACCTCCTGGTTCATAGGTCAACACTCAATGACTGAGTCACACTGGCTGGGCTAAAATTATTTTCTAAGCTGATATTGAAGAAGGTTATGCATATGGGGGGCACAGGGGATATATGGGAAATATCTTTGCATTTCGCTCAACAGAGCGGTGAACCTAAAATTACTCTAAAAAAATAAGTCTTTATATGAAAACATTCTTTCTGTTGTTCCATCCGTAACACCTAATAATCTAAGCTTTATTTAACACTAGATGTTTAAAATCATTAGATTAATGTAACCACTAGGGGTCACACTAATATAGCTCCCCCCGCACAGTAGACCCACAATCCCTAATAAAAACAACTTTTTAAATGTATACATTTCTTTAATTTCTGTGAGGGCACCTTACATTGATTCGCTTAATGAATCTTTGCAGGAAATAGCAAAGGATCAGCTGTTACCAGTTTGATTCAAGTCTTGGATAAATTAGGGGGGAAAGTTAAAAATTGTTAAAATCTCACAACCTCCTGCCAGCCCACTCACAAGACACCTTTTGATGCCTCAGAAGGAGCCAAAGAAAAGTAATTTCCGAGAGAGCAGAAAACCACGTTCACGCCTACGTCCATGGAAAAAGGAGCCGGGTGGAAAAAGCTAAGAGAATGAATAGAGAGTCATTTTCAAGGTTTTGTTTTCTTAAAAAGAAAGCATGTTATTTCAGAGATAAAGGAAAGTAAGGTGCATTTATTATTATTATTATTATTTGTAAATGAAAAAATTCTAAGGTTTAGAGAGAACCAGCTGAGATTGGCAGCAAAAGAACAGCATAACGTATAAAATTGCCATCTTAGTAGAAAATATGGGGGCTAAAGAAAAATTAATCCTTTTTATTTTACCTCCTAAACTTTTCTAGATTGGGGGGCGGAAATTCAAATTAGCAGAGACAGCCCTGGCCAGTGTCACCCGGTGGTTAGAGCGTCTTCCCGAGCACTGGAGGGTCGCTGGTTCAATTCCTGGTCAAAGGCACATACCTGGGTTTTGGGTCTGGGTATATAAGACACATTTGGACAAAGAAAGAAAAGAGGGTGGGGTGAGGACAGGGTCTTAAGTTTCAGAAGTGAGAATGGGCCTATTTGTACAAGTGCTGGTTGTTCTTAAAACTAAACAAAACCTCTTGGGTATTGCAGGTTTCTGGGTTTGCAAATGCTTGGTATGCACCTGGCTTCAGTTCATGGGTTGTAGCTGCTTTAAAAAAATAAAAAGTAAACATACAAGTGGAGCCCTGGTTGGTGGGCTCAGTGGTTAGAGCATCAGCCCATATACCAAAGTGTCAAGGGTTCAATTCCAATAAAGGGCATGTGCTTGGGTTGCAGGCTCGATCCCTGGCCTGGGTTGGGACGTGTGCAGGAGGCAACCAATCAATGTATCTCTCACATCATTGTTTGTCTCTCTCTCCCTCTCTCCCTCCCTCTGTCCCTTCTACTCTCTAAAAGTCAATGGAAAAAATATTCTCCGGTGAGGCTTAATAACAACGACAAAATCCATGAGGAAATTCCACTCCCCGCGATAAAAATTCTTCCACTTCAAATACTATAAGCTTTGGAAGCGGTGGGAAGGACCCAGACTCTAAACTCTTGACTGTCATCATCTGTGGTGGAGTTAGAATATTCACAGAAGTCATTAAAATGCTGGCAAAAAAACCTGAACAGATGGATGTTCCATCGTCCACGGGGTGTCAATGACCTTTACTGAAAGTATTCGAAAGTCATTTTAAAAATTGATGATGAAACTATTTGGATCACACACACACACACACACACACACACACAAAGAAAGAAAAACCTATGGCAAGTTTTATTCAGGCCAAACACATGTTAAGTTAATCATGGCCTCTGGTTAATGCGTATCCCAGCTCTGGTGACACTGTGGAGGAAATCAAGACTCACTTGTTATTTTTGTGGAGTTATGTGGAAATGTTTTTTTGT